CCCGCCCCGCCGGACGTGCGGCGCGGCCTAAGGGCGGAGTCCCCCCCGCAGCCGCAGCCGGAGGCCGCTGGCCGCCGCCATGCTCTTCCGTTTCGGCGTGGTGCTGCCGGCCCGCATGACGGAGGGCGGCGGTTCGCTGCTGGTGGCCGGCTCTCGGCCGGAGCTGGGCGGGTGGGACCCGCAGCGCGCCCTGCCCATGCAACCGGCCCGGCCGACCGCCCCGCTGCCTGCCCAGGAGCCGGCGCTGTGGCTGGCGGAGGTGGCGCTGCCGGGCGAGGACGCCGCCAGCCCCTTCTGGTACAAGTTCCTCCGGCGGCAGGGCGGCGAACTCCTCTGGGAAGGTAACGGGCGAGCCGGGAGGCTGGTGGGAGCGGAGCGGAGCGGGCCGGCCCGGCGCCGCCCGGCCCTCGGGTGGGCCTGGAGGGGCGGAGCGGCGGTGGCAGCTCCGCTCCTTGAGGGCTCGCCGGCGGCTCCGCCTCCCGCCCGGAGCCCCGCAGCGTCGGCCGGGAGGGCTGTCCCGCTCCAGCCGGGCCCCGGCCGGAGCTCGGCGCTGCCGGCGGCGCCTCCCGCCCGGGGAAGGCCCGAACTGCGCTGGCAGGTCGAACCTCCTGGGCTGTCGTGACATGACGCGAGCGCTCGCTAACGAGGCGGGTTGTGACCGTGCGGCGGGGGAGGGCGAGCGCGGAAGGAAGGCTCTCTGCGGGGCTGGTGAAAGTTCTGTGAGGCGGGTCCGTTATTTCTTGCTTGCTTCAGGCATCCCTTGTCCTGATGTGCTGTGTTCTTTCTCTCCCCAGAAGTAAAGAATTCAGAACTTCTTACTTGCCCGTTAAGGAGGTGTGATTTGGTACTTGTATTTCAGGAAGCTGAAATGTCACCGTGGCATTTTCAGGCTGGTAAATTTTACCGTTGGAATTGCTGACAAAAAAAACAAAATAGGGAAGAGTTCTGTCACGACTTTTCCGGTCTTCTTGCTGTCTCAGTAGTACTTTCACCATGAACTTCTCCTGTTGCGTGTTGTCAAATGTTGAATAACTTTAGTCAGTTCCCGTCTGCTCTTCTGGTATATTTAAGTATCTTAAATAAGAGAGAACACTCATTAAATTGTATGCCAAGTCAAATAAAGCTCTAAATGTACCTTTTGTCACTGAGGAATGGATCGGACTTGGTGAAAGGAAGACGGATGACTAGGTAATTTGTGAGGGGTTTTTTTGTAACTGATAAAATAGTTCTATAATCCATATACCAAAATAACACATTGTAGAGCAGTTGCTCTTCACCCGTATTAAGAACACATATCACACTTTTAAACTGCTGTTCTGTCACATAAGACTAAAACATGCATGTCATCATAACTGTTGCATTTGGTTTTTCTTCTTTATACTAATAAAAGACTACGTGTTAATAGTACATTCATAGGAGTTTACATCATGAAGTACTATTTACACCATGTAATTGTTTTGTTTAGCAGCTAAAATAAATAGTACATTCTGCCTGCTTTAACCATGTTTTTCTTTTGCAGAAATGCAGGAAAAGTGAATTTATGGAATAAAAATCTTTGCATCTGTCCAAGGAAGCAGAATTGGGTCTCTTTTGAAGGTGCCAAGTTGTGCATAATATGCCAGTCATATGGGTATATAAAGACGTCCTCACCACACACAGAATATAGAAATAATAATAGAGTGTTCCAGTCTCTATAGAGAATCTGCAACTGTAAGGTGATGGTTACTGTCTAGTTTGGAAGTAATGATATCTCAAGGTATTTGTCCAGACCTGGGAGTGCATTGAGTAAATGTAGTCTGTTGAGTAATAAACATACTCTGTTTTGGCAGTAGTGCTACTGATGCAGTTTTAGGATTAACCTATGTGGGATTCTGTTCTTGTCATTGTGGATGCTCAGCAGTTTGAGCTTATTGCTTAGCTAGAATGATAGAAAACAAATGGGCATATCATCCAAATGTGGAGGGTTTTTTTAATTAGTCATTCATATCAATCATTTTTTTCTAAGTTGTTATTTACCAGAAAGAACTAAATTTGCTTAAAGCCTGAAATTTATTGTATTACATGAAGGGAGCTTAAGGATGTTTTTCTATCCAATAATTAAGCAATATCTTGCAGTCTTTTATGTCTTTTGTTTTAATGATTTTTTTTTTTCCAACTGTAGATCAATGAAAGTTTTGGCTGTCATCTGTTTATTCCTGTAAAAATCACAGGTTGAAAAGACACCTACCTTTTTTAAAAAAAGAACAAAACTTTTTTTTGGTGATAAGCAAATGCTTAGTATCCTGTGTGTTTAGAATTAAAAATGTGCTTTGGGAGACATTTAGCAGTTACACAACATCTGGAATTTTGAAGACATGGTCATGAGGGATAGAGGAAAGTGCAGAATGATACTTGCTCTAAATTTATGAGTTGGGGCATTCATCTGTAACCACAGAAACTCCTGTCCAATTATGGATGTCAGATGTTTACATATATTGGATGTGAAATAATGTGCTATATTTAAGAAAATTACTCCCAGTTTTTGTGTCAGTATACTTCATGTGAGAATTCCACTAGTAATGCATATTATTTTTTTTATAATACTACAGTACATGTTGCATCATATGTTTTAAGTTTAGTTCATCCTTACAGTCATTCCAACGCAGTTGGGAAAGTGAAGGATAAAGTAAGGGTATTTATTTCTGTGGGCTGGAAGAGTCAAAGTCATGAGCCAGTGTTCTGTGGCCTTTGGGTTCTGCCAGGTAGTCTGGTAGGAAGCCTTCAGGCAAGACTTGGCCTGCGGGAGGGTTGCTGGCTTGTTGCTCGTGTCTGGAGGGAACTAGTTCCCCTCTCTAGGAGGATGAGGTGGGAGAGGAGGCTTCTCTTGTGCTCCTGAAGGGTCAGATGCTTACCTCTGCTATCCTAGGGAGATGATGCCAGCCTGCATTCCCGGCCTGTCACTTAAAGCTGTTGGGCTCTTCTGGCTCAAATCACACGATTTCTGTATGCGCTCTGGCCCAAGTGAGGTTTCTACAGGGATGGTATGTTACTTGCCTGCTGTGAGCTCATCTGGAGGGCCTGTTACCCAGGAGAGTTTTTAACTGTGTTACAGTATCTGTGGAAAACAGGTTGGTTATGTTGAGCTTTAGAACCTGGGAATAGGTTTTCCTGTTAAAAAAAAAAAATGAGTGTATATTCCCCCCCCCCCCCCCCCAACTGCATCCTATGTGTCTTTCTGTGTACTTTGCTTTTGATGTAGATTCTTCAGAACTGGGTTTATTTATGTGTCTTTCAGCTTGGAAAGTAAAAGTATATTGTGCCTCCTGTAAAAACTAAATAAATACAAGATGAAACTTACGCTTGAATTTATTTTTGTGAATTTATGCTTCAACACTCATCTATGCCTTTTTTCCCCTTTACTCTGGTCTAAATAAACTGTAGGTGCTATAGAAGATACATGTTCTATAAAAGGACAGAGGAGTTGCTAAGGGTATGCCCCAAACTGTATTCTGAGATGATGGAATACAGTCTATTGAAACCTTATGCTTTGAGAAGGGGAAGAAATATATATAAAAATTATAAGCTTATATTCTAAAATGTTGATCCATTTTCACATAACCATTAGTTTGATGTAGTTGGTGCTTGACTGAAGCTTGATGGATACAGTATTGCCAGTTAAAGCTGAAAAGCACGATCAACCTACCTTTTAGTAATTTGTACAGGTGAGCAGAGCCTGATTCCTTCCAAAAAAACCCATCTCTAGTTTTGGGGAGGTGGGGAGGAGAGAAGAGGAGGTGTCTTGTTTGCACTTACATGCTGCTGTTCTTTGTAGTTTCTTGGGGGCCCAGAGCAAACAATGCAACACAGTTCGATTTAGAAACGGTCAGGTTACGCAGCCTGTGCCTAGGTACGTTGGCTTTCCAACATTTCCAGTTCATGTTCCTGTGAGCTTGTTAGTTGCAGTTTAAGCCACCTGTTGGACATTGTAGACTTCTGATGATAGTTCAAAAAGCCTGGTACATTTATGGAGTAATAAAGGTTTTCATAAGACCATAATGTAATTAGTGAAAATATCGGAAGTAAAATTTGCTCATGGCTTTCAAGAGTTGAGCACCTGATTGGCTGAAAACATTGGTGATGGTAAGGCACATTAAAATTCATTTTTAAAGTGGCAGTGTGTTGAAACCTAAACCAGTCTCACTTGTTGGCCTCAACTTCGTGGAACAAACCAGGTATAATTTCTTATTTTAATGAGGGAGGTTCTTTAAGGGCTGTGTGGGAAGTTAATACCTAGTTGCCTTTTGAGTTGGAGAGATTGGAACAGAATAAAAAATATTTTGGGCTAAGCCATAGCAGGATAAAAGCAATGTAAAAATTCTTTGAGGCCATTCTGGAGAAGTACAGTTGGACGCACATTATTTTTCTGTAACTGAGATGCATCTCTTTTCCTTTCTTTCCCAAAGCTAATCTACAGGTCCCCAAATTAGGTAGCAGTTCTGTTATTAAAAGAAAAGAAAAAATCCCAAAACCTGGAGAGGGTAACGTTTCTTCATACTTCTTTTAATGCAGATATTTTATATAGTGTTGTTCCCACTGGGTGTCGCCATTTTACCTGTGTATAGCCAGCGACTGCCTGGTTTCTTGCAGCTACTTGCACATTTCATCAGTATTTAGTGTAATCCGTTTTGCTTTTGAAAATAATCCAGGGCTTTACCTGCTTCCACCATCCCAGTCTTGTTCTGAAGTAGGTAGGGACTAGGAAGGAACATAAAACACGATTGGATGTTGGTAGCTGAATAATTGTGCATAATATGCATTTTGTTTGTGCAACGCTGTTGCTTTCTGGACAATGCTGGATGCCTTAACACGTTTCAGATGTGAGGAAACTTTATGAGTAAAAGTGGGTAACTTTGAAATCTACCACCCAATACCTCTTTAATGAATGGAGAGAAACTTTTGTTTACAAAGCACAATAGCTCCTGGTGTTTTTGTTCTTCAGCCCCCTCAAGACACATACTTAGTTTAGCATGGATTATGGTAGAACTAATTGGTAGCAAGTTTGTCATTACTTCCTATCTGTGTGCCAGCATTAACCAGCTTAGACTGAGCAGACTACTGGAGATCAATACAACAACGGAGAGGGGAGAGGGGCCCATGAAACTGCAAAATTAGAAGAATAAAAATAAGTATGTACACGTGCGTTCCTCTGGATTTGGCAGGTATGTGTCATATCCCACCTGCAGAGATAATTGGGGGCCAGCTCTGACTGCTGTGAGAGCGTAATTAAAGCATTTGTGTTTATAATGGTAAAGTTACAATAAATGCATTGTTTATGCAAATTCTTGATTTATTTACCGTTTTT